GGCAAGATCAGGGCTGTGGGGTGGATAGGGCAAGATTTTGTCATGAAGCTCTTGTAGGACAGTCTTTGCTACCTCAAAGAATGAAGAGGTGCATTTTCATGATGAAAAAAAAAAAAATCCTTGGAAAATTTTTCCTTGTCTTTTTTCTCATCAGTACACTTTTCAATTTTCTTCAAACTTTATAAGTCCCTGGTATTGTTGCATGTCTTTTGAGAAAATCTATCAAGATTATTCCTTTGGAAATAATAATAATAATAATAACAATAATAATAATAAGTCACCCAAACCCTCTGAGCTGACCTCTCTGCTGTGAAATTAATTCCTCTTGGAAGCCACTGTTTTGATTGGGCCTTGCTTTCTGGATTATATTGATAATTCCAAAATTCAACCCGGTGATCATTTGTTCCATAAGTTCATCTTTGTTAGCTTCAATCTTGTTTAAAACTAATGAAGAGATAAACTCTTTGAGCTAGCTGATCTTTACATGCTATTTTAAACATCCTTTGAGCCAGAAACTTGCTGAGACCAAGATGTTCCTTCCACTCAAACTGAAAATGCCAAACCATGCATGATTCCAACTTCAAAAGCTATTGCATCACTGACAACTCTACAGTCTTCATCCACCAGTTTCTGGACTTCAACCACGGTTTCTTCATTCATCCAGGCTGATGGTCTTTCTCTGATGGTCTTTCTTGTGTTGATTAGTCTTTGAGGTCTTCCTGCTCTTCCTTAAAATGCTTGTTTCATCTAAAAATGATTGTTTTATGTGGGGCAGCATTCTTGTAGATTTGTTGCAAAGCTTTGATAATTTGGGGAAATGTCCACTTGAGTTTTGTTAAAAATTTGATATTAGCCTTGACCTCAAAATCCTTTTTTTCCCCATGGCATAAAAGGCTCTCTCTCTCTTTTTGGAGACTTCTCAACTAGACTAATACAATTGTACTATTGAGAGAACTTATCCACTGATCACAGAGACATGTTAAACTCATTTTGTTTGGAATAAATTTGTGCATGTAGGAAGTGGAACCCTAGTAGCAACACCTTTTGACTGACACTCATATTATTTAAAAATAAAAAAAAAGCTTTA